CTGCTGGGAAACCAGCTGCTGGGGAACCATGGGGAAACCACTTCCCCCAGCCCCTGGGGTCAACACCCAGGGGGTCAGGCCCCTCTGCTGGCTCAGCACAGAAGCCCAGGGTGTTCCCTTTCCTCCTCCAAGCAAGCCCAGAGACACCTTGCTGGGGCCAAAGGAGGAGAACAAACCCTTGCAGCAAACACAAGTCAAGGTGGGGTTTAATTTTATTTTTTTTTTAACATTGCCTAAACCTAATCTCCTTGCCAGAGGTTCACATTGTGTGGGAAACCTCCTGGTCCTTTCCTACAGCTCTGTACCCCCGAGGAGGAGAAAAGGAGGCTCTGAAACCCACGTGGAAAAACACTTAAAAAAAAACAACAACAGGGGAAATGCACTTCCCTTGGTTTGTTGGGGTTTGTTTTCTTTTCCTCCAGCTTTGCTTGGGTTAAATCCAAGCACTGCCCTGGAGCTTTGTCTCACCTTAACCCCATCTGGCTTCGTCTGGGCTGCTGTTTCAAACCCACAGGGTGAACAGTTTGTGTCCTCTGCACTGAGAAATTCGTGCTCAGCCCATCACAGAGTTACCCCCTGTACCGTGACCACTTCAGCCCTGTCCTGGAGCAGCTGGGATGGAGACAGGGAGGGGAAAGTGAAGTGGTTGAAGAGGTAAAAAAACCTCTCCTGTTGTGACCTTGGGCTAGAGCTGCCCTCCCCTCTGCCCCAGCCACCAGGACAGGAGGAAGCTTGAGGTCTTAACCTCCCCCCTGCTCAGTGAGTTAAACAGGATTAACCAGAACAGGGAGAGGAGGCAGCTAATGACTAACAGCTCCTTGTCCTTTCCCAAAGCACAACCAACCACCAAGGCCAAGGGCTGGGCTGGCACGTGATGCCTCCAGCATGTGGTGGCAGCAGCAGGGTTGGGGTCAAGGTGCCCTTGTCCCCCTGGCAGGGACAGGGAGAGGGGACTGAAGCCCTGATCCAGCAGGGAGGCAGAGGAACAGCCAGGGCTGGACGTGCATCTCCTGAGGCAGTGGGGCTGGTCAGATGGCAGAGAGATGGATCACCCTGAACTCGGTGAGCAGGGCCAGGCAGAGGAAGGCCAGGTAGTAGAGGATGAGGCCCCTGTCCTGGAGCAGCTGGGATGGAGACAGGGAGGGGAAAGTGAAGTGGTTGAAGAGGTAAAAAAACCTCTCCTGTTGTGACCTTGGGCTAGAGCTGCCCTCCCCTCTGCCCCAGCCACCAGGACAGGAGGAAGCTTGAGGTCTTAACCTCCCCCCTGCTCAGTGAGTTAAACAGGATTAACCAGAACAGGGAGAGGAGGCAGCTAATGACTAACAGCTCCTTGTCCTTTCCCAAAGCACAACCAACCACCCAGGCCAAGGGCTGGGCTGGCACGTGATGCCTCCAGCATGTGGTGGCAGCAGCAGGGTTGGGGTCAAGGTGCCCTTGTCCCCCTGGCAGGGACAGGGAGAGGGGACTGAAGCCCTGATCCAGCAGGGAGGCAGAGGAACAGCCAGGGCTGGACGTGCATCTCCTGAGGCAGTGGGGCTGGTCAGATGGCAGAGAGATGGATCACCCTGAACTCGGTGAGCAGGGCCAGGCAGAGGAAGGCCAGGTAGTAGAGGATGAGGCAGATGCCATAGGCTTTGCCCAGCTGGAAGCACT